AACTAACAATACAAAAGAATTAAATTTTCAAGAATTATAAGTAACTAAATTATACAAATGTGTAAAAAAACTAATAGTAGCAATATTTAGATCGCATTGTTCATCTCATTTTCCTCTTCATTGTTATTGTCATTCTCTTCTTCAATGTCATCTTCCAATACTTCACTTTGTTGAAGTTTATTGTAAAATTGGTGATGGCATGGTGGTACGAATTGCAAAAGTGATCTGATATCATTAAGTTTTGCTTGACTTAATTTTCTTCCTTCGGGGTAAAGAATGCTTAAGTTTAAAGAAGCTAGGTTTACAGGTCGGCCTTTCAATCTCTTATTTAGATTTACTGAATAAAATTGTATTTCTTTGTTACGTGTGTATTTAAATTCCATAACTCCTGGATGGTCTTGAGTAAATTTCATTTGTTTTATTTTTAACCATTCTACATTTTGTTCATCTGAGTCTTTTTTGCGGTTTACCAGATTTTGTTTTAATGCATCCATACTCTTGAAATCCTCTTTTTCCATGCATACTACTTCAAACTTGTTCTTTTTAACTCTTGAGTTTGAAATTATGTTATGCTTTTGAGTGGGCACATAAATTTCAGGATGATATTTCAACTTTTTTTCTATATCACCAAAATCGCTATCGTTTTGTAGATATGAATGTCCTGGCTCAGCAAACTTATGAACTACTTCCTTTATGTTTAAAGTAGGGGACTGCACTATGTACATCCATAACGCGGCAATATTAATGTTGCGGTTTTGGCCGCCACATGAGTCAGACCATGCAATCAATATGTCCATTATGATCATGGGTATTTATGAATTTTAAAATACATGATCCTATTTCCTGGGAACCTCGTGAGGTAGTGCTCTCATCCCAAACATGCATTGTCCCGACATTATTTTCAAAATTATGTATACCAAGATTGTAGCATGAAAGCTGCCTCTTATAGTAAACAACTCCTGTGGTTAGTTTAGGAAGAAGCATTACTTTCTGAAGATCAAAACTAATTACTGTAGCTTTCCCTTCTTTACTAATATTAACGTCTTCATTTATTTCTGAGCGAGCTAACTGTACTTTTCTTTGGTGTAGTTCCTGGTTTAGTTTCTTAGTCTTTAACGTCTTTATCTTTGTTTTCCTCAGCTGCCTTTATTTCAATGTTCAACCTGTCACATGTTTGACAGGTATCTTTTCGTGGAGATTTAAAATTATGATTAAAATCACGTCTTTCTCTCTCTTAAACTATCAACATAGAGTCTGTACATTAATGACAAATTTAAATTACAATCCAAGTATTTTTTTGGGATTGAGTTCTACAGTAATGACTTGCTATGGTAGGGAAACTTTGTATATGATTTTTTATTGACTCCATTGTGGACGGTGAAGATTTGTTATGAGGCACTTTTTTCCCTCTAAGATCACTTAAATTTCCACTTTTTTTTCTTAAGCAAAGCACGATGTACTCTACTACTATTGATTTGTAATATTCCCATAAACATTTTTTTGTATACTTTAATATCTCCGTTTCAGAAGGGATATAAATTTCACGATTGCCTGTTTTTTTTTAAATATCAGTGTTCTTACGACGTCTTATTATCGTTCTATATTTTACAGCACCACTTATTATGCTTGTTTGAGTTTCCCAAGACTGTGACTCGTTATAAAACAAATTAAAAAAACTTTCTTTTTGCTGTGCTGTAAGCTTATTTTGGCAGTTTATTTTGCAATTGCAGGAATAGTCATTAAAAGATTTAGAGTGTATGACAGTACCTGAAGTATTGATATATTCTTTACCAGCTGCCCTTTTTTGCTTGCGAATATTTTTTTTCCACTTCTTAGGATCAGATTTTCTCTTCTTGTCTTGAGGTTCTTCCTGCCCTCTCGTATTTTTTTCATCTGTAAAAACACAAAATTATTAATATTTTACATAAGTAAATATTTTACATTACTTTTTTATGTTATAACATAAAAATACTTTGAAACACACATTCACTATGCATAAGACAGACAATTTACGTTCTCTTTTGCCAAAGTGAACTATGTGATTTTATTTTTTTTTTACAATTCCAATATAAATTAATGGAATATATTGCTTCATTCTTATATAGATAGGTAAATACTATGTTCTTAGGTTGGTATAACTGCTCATATTTCACTAGAACTCCCAGTGGACACTGCAAGAAATAAATTTGCACATGGTTCACTTTGGCAAAAGAAACGTTCCAAAACATAACCAAACTTTGATAATGAAGTTTTATGGCAATAAATATTATTATCTTACCTGATTCTGTAATATCCGAATCAGAACTTGGATGGTAATCATCTGAAGACCCATTACTGAAATCAGCGTGTTCATCTTCACTAGAATTTCTATCAACAATGTCATGACGATGTGAACTATGTGCACGGGAAGCCATCTTGGACTGGATGATGGTTCACTGTGGCATATGACTACCAGTACTACCATCCTTTTGCTAAATAGAATTTACTAATTTCCAGCTGATGTTTTCTGTTATTCACATAGTTCGTTTTGGCATAAGTTTAGAACAAAAGTTTGCCTCATAATAGAAATGAAAAAGTTAAAAACAAATAAAATGCACATAGTTCACTCTGGCATGAGACCATCCAATTAAAACTAAATTCAATTATTATAAAGTAGATATGAGGTCTCCCAATAAGAATGTCCTGATGTTTTTTTAACGAAAACGGTAAAAATTGCTGTAAATCAAAAAATAAAAAAAGTTTATTGCAAAATATAATAGATAACAATTATATTCTGAATAACACATCATTCAAATGTCCACCTCGACTACGTTTGCAGAAGCGAATCCAATGAACCCAATTTTCGGTCACTTTATGCAAAATATCCGCATTAATCTAACGAATGGTGTGTTCTATGTTCCTCTTCAAGTCTTTAATGGATTGTGGTTTATTTACATAGACCAATGACGTAAGATAGCCCCATAAAAAATAATCCAACGGTGTTAAATCGCAGCTTTTTGGAGGCCAAGCATCTGGTCGAACTTGTTGAATTCTCCTGGGATCTCTGGCATCAAGAGAAATCAATGTTTCCGAAAACTTTTCCTTCAATAAATTAATGGTTGGGGCAGTAGTGTGACATGTGGCACCGTCCTGTTGGAAAAACATGTTATCCAAATCCATTTTGTCCAACTGAGGCCACAAAAAATCCGTTATCATTGTTTGATACCTTTCACCGTTAACTTTTACACCATGTTCGAAAAAATAAGGTCCGATGATGACACCACGCCATAAACCACACCAGACAGTGACTTTTTCTGGATGCAAAGATTTCTGAAAAATCTCATGTGGCTTATTTTCACTCCAAAAACGACAATTTTGCTTATTCACAAAGCCGTTTAACCAAAAGTGAGCTTCATCGAAAAAGATTATTTTTTTGAAAAAATCGCCATCATTTTCGAGTTTGTCTAGAGTCCAATCAGCGAAAAAACGACGCTTATGACGGTCAAGTAGATTCAGTTCTTGAGTCAGAACAATCTTGTAAGGGTGTAGGCCTAAATCTTTTCTCAGAATTCGCCAAGTTGTCATTCTGGTGAGTCCAAGTTCCTGAGAACGACGAGTTATGGACACATTTGCATTCTCCTCTACATTGGCTCTTACAGCAGCAATATTGTCCTGAGTTCTTGCATTTCGGCGTCTAGTAGGTGGTTTCGTATCCTGCAAAGTAAATTCACGTTCAAACTTTTCCACGATTCGACTAATTACACGCATATCAGGACGATGATTTGGTCCATAACTTTCAGGTAATGCACGATAGGTATTCACAAAAGAACGAATATTAGCATAAAATTTTAGGATAATTTCCAAACGTTGTTCAAGCGTATATCTTGCCATGGTAATTTGTTAGAGTATACTAAATACAAACGTCAACAAGTGACAGTTCTACCATTTTTAAAATGGCCGCTATGACATTTCAAAAACAGGACGTCCCTATTGGGAAACCCTGTATAAATTATTTCATCTTCACTCTTTCTAATGACACTAATTTCGTTAAAATCGGTTAATCCAAACCAAAGTTATAGGTATTTATCCACACATATTTTCCCACTCTCCCCCACCCTTTATTAAAAAAAAAAAGTACTTGAACAACTTTGTGCAGAATTTAGGCCACTTTCTTAGTTTTCTTATTTAACACTTAGTTTAATTGGGCATATTTCCCAAAAAACTGGTTTTCAGAGTTTTCTTTACAGGTTACGCCCCCTAGCGGTCAACGAAGAAACTTGAAAGTTATTTCCAGCGATTTCTCTTGGCTACTTTAACTGTAATTTTTTCTCCCAAAGTTATAAAATGAATAGTTTCTGATATATAGCCGAGAGATCGGCTTATTGGACCACCCGGTACAGTGGCCACTGCGGACGGCGACCAATGCGTTTAACCCCGGTCAATCAATATTTAAATATTATTGATCTTTGTATTAAACATAAATTATTTAAATATGTTATGTTTTAAGATTATTTTTGGGGTTAATAATTAAGGGTGAATTACCTTTTTATAGGCATATGCATTCCCCAATGTTTCGTCTTTCGGTGATCCTTTTCCTCGGGCATAGATTTGTAATAAGGTTATTATGTTTCCCATTCGTATAGTAACTACCATTATTCTAGGTTAAACGACTTGTACTTTTATTATTATTCGTACCCCATCCTTGCTCTTTGGACAGTTGTACTTAGTTTGGACTTAGTATGTAGTTATCTGTTAGCTTGATCTTACCACTGCATTTTTTTTTTGTTTCGCCCAGACCCAATATTTGTATTTGATTCCCTTCCATTTCCTCATATAACCTTACCATTGTTCCATATTTTGGAGCGAGTGTTTTATATCTTTCTTTGCTGCTTGTCCTGTTTACTAATGTATATCTTAAAAAGATGAAAATCGCTAAAAAAGAAGAAGACTGGAAACGCTTTTTTTTACCATTTTTAGGATACAAATTTTTTAGTTAACTATTTGATTTTAATATTTTTCAGTTGACGGTGTAGCGTACTCAGGAGAACTTTTGGCCATATTGGGTTCAAGTGGTTCTGGAAAAACAACCCTTTTAAATACTCTAACATATCTTCCAATGGATGGAATCATCGTTTCAGGAATGCGGTGTATAAATGGTGTGCCCGTAGATCGTCACAGGTTAAGAAATGTTTCAGCTTATGTTCAACAGGATGATTGTTTTATAACAACCTTGACAGTGCGAGAACATTTAATCTTTCAGGTATATATCGATATAGAAATGTTTATGCTAATATTACTTGTATCGTTTAGTGTTATACTTTTACATTTTTTGTTCTTATTATTTCCTTCGGTCTGTCTAAAAAAATATTTATATTAAAATTTTTAGGCTCTAGTAAGAATGGAACGCACTGTGACATATGATCAACGACTGAGAAGAGTTGAAGAAGTATTATCTGAAGTAAGCAGCATTTAATGTTTGAAATAAAATAATTAGGTTTATATCATCTAATTGAATCATTAAAACCTATAGCATATTAATATATGAATATACACCTAAAGGCTCTCAGACAAAATTGTTCTAAAGCTTTTTTCTTGTGGCATCTTAATGCACTTACTATGTGTATTGAAAATAAACCACAATTTAAATTTAAAATAAATTTATCGATGTTTCAATTTTCACTTTGGAAAACATTAAAAAACCTATTTTAAATTTAAATTGTGGCTTATTCCCAATAAAAATACTAGTTGCACTGAGACAAAATGATTCAAATTTTCTTTTCCCGCATTTTTTCTTTAAAATTTGTCTTATCTACATTCCTATGTATTTTTCATATGCTTTAATAACCCATAATTGAGGCAGTGGCTAGAATAAGAATATATAGGCGTATGGACCCTTTTTCCGGAGAACACAGAATTAAATTCTTTAAGTTGTTCTTTATCAGCTCACCAAATTGTTCTACGATATTATGGTTTTTTATATTGGTTTATAGTCCAGGCTGTGGGTATAAAAACGTGTTATAATTCCATATTTAATTGTAGCAGTTGGGCGTTGTAGGGGGGACCTTCCTGAGTAATTCTTATGTAAAAGCGACCAAAAATTTTTGGTTATTATTTTTTTATGGACGAAAAACAGTGGAAAATTCGTATATTTTTCCTTTTTTGAATATATCATTTAAGGTAATTATTTTGAAGCAAAACTGCTTATAACATATTATTCCTTATTTCTTTACCTTTCATTTAAGCTTTTTTGAGTTTAATTTGGTCCAATAATTTATTCATAATTAGCCTTCAAAGACGAAAATCGCTGTTTTTTTCAAATTGCAATATTTATTTTAAAAATGATTTTTTTTTGTACGTTTTAACCTTTAAAATGAAGCACTTTTGGTTCCCCATCGAATGAAATTTGGTAAAGTAAAATTCGTTAATTTGTTGCTGAGAAACATTCATTTGCTTTTCCCACGACCAAAATTTTGAAATGCTTTACCTTTTTTTGAAAAATGGTAAGAAGATTTTTCAAAGTGAACCCCTAGAACGCCCAATTGCTACAATTAATTATGTAATTATGACAAAAACTGTCCCTTTTTTTACTCACAGCCTGGACTAATAACACTTTTTTAGTAAAGTGCTGAAAAAGATAAGAAAGATTTGTGCCTCTAAATTTACCCTGTTTTGGTGAATTTTGGTGAAAAAATATTTTGTGTTTTCTGTAAGTGTAGAAAAATGTTTTTCAAAAATAACTTTGAAAAATCAAAAGCTAATATTTTACTCTTTTTATGAAAACTTTTTAAAAAAGAACAAGACACTTTTCTAGCCGTGAAGCGTGTATGAGTATGACAGAACAAAATTATTGAGAAAACCCCACTTGATAAAAAACCTGAAAAACTCGAGCAGCAAGAAAAAGTCTCAGGTAATGTTTATTCTATGGCTTTAGAACATTTAAAATCTATTCCACGTACACCAAATCATTAAACACCGGTAAAACAAACAGCTTGTACTTAACTCGGACCCAACGATTAAGAATATTTTTGAGCAGTTTTAAAAGTTGTTTAAGGACACCACGGCAATAATGTTACCATAAAATACAAAACCATTTCCAGCTTTTAAGAGAAACTAATTTTACGTTTAAAAAACCGAAAACTGATACATGTGATTATTCTCGTACGTGTGAAATCAAGTTAGAAAAGAATCAACATGATAAATGCCAAGTTAATTACAATCTTTATAAAAAGAAATTCAAGTCTAGTTCCGAGGTAAAAGAAGTTACTTGAGAAATACAAGAGATGAGTGAGGTATTCTTGTCCTGGAATTAGATTATGCGCAAAATATACCGTTGCTAAAGCTCGTCATTATAAATCAGTTCTTCTTCTTCTTCTTCTTTTGGCATCATAACCCTGGATGGGTCTTTGCCTGTCTGGGTATGTCCTTCCATTCAGATCTCTCTTGTGCCCTTCTTCTCCATTGTATTATGTTCGTTGTTTTCAGGTCGTCTTCCACGTCATCCAACCATCTCGTTCTGGGCCTTCCTTTTTTTCGCCTTCCTATGGGCTTCCATTGTAACATTTTCTTTGTTGATAAATCAGTTCTATAAAAGGCTTTTATAGATGTATCTGTTCACACGTGCATAAAGATGGATCATCATATGTATATTCTTTTATAGAATCTTAATCTAAAAAGGCAGCAAGTAGTGTTTTTTCATCCATCTATGACTGTATTCACAATAAAATAGCAGACTATCCCAATAGCAAGCGTATTATTCATTTATCAGATGCAGCTGGATGACAAAACAAAAATCAGACTGTGTTACGGTGTGGTTTGTTCTTAGATACAAAACTATACAGAGTTGAAGTGGCACATATTTATCCTATTTGTGGAGACTCATTTAGTTAGTGCGATAGAAATTTTGTAGTTATAAGGCAGGCTTTAAAATAGTTCAAGATGTTGAAAAATAAAAGTGTACCTAGAAAAATCGCAGAGTGCAAACAAACTCCTTCTTTCTCTCTTAAGCGTGACTGCAATATAATATATGACTAGGATGCAGCAGTTCTTCCTTTTTTTAAAGAAACCTTTGAATAAATATGGTGGGCTTAATACACCAGTATCACACGCTGAAGTTTAAACCTTGTGGGACAGTGGCTGCGTCAAAAACATGCTTTAAAATGTATACCTTTTAAACATGCAAAAACGTTGCCATTGGACTTAACTTTTATGCCTTTACCTAAGGTTTATGTTAATCAGTCCAAAATTAAGGACGTGAGAGACTTGCTTAAGTACTTAAGTGAATTACGTAGAAACTGTTTGAACTTCAAATTACACGCCAACTAGTAAAAAATTGGCACATTGTAAATGTCAAAATAAATAATGTCAGAATAAATGGTTCCTTTCAAGTTGACAAACACGTTTTTCATTCGGTCAAAGTTTTAATTAATTTATTCAAGTTTATTATAACAAGAAGTTCATAACCAGCGCAAATATACAGTCCAACCTTCATGGTTTCTTCTAATCCCTTCATGGTTTGGTCCTTCTTCGCAGGATTTGGTTATGAACAAGAAAAATATAATTCGTAATTTCAAGTAATGGTTTAGTTTTTCTACACAGGATTTGGTTATTAGCAAGAAAAATATAATTAATAATTTCAAATAATCAACCTAAATTTGGCGTTCATACATCGAGAAAGCAAGTGTTGTTGGTCCATCAAAATATTTAACACTTCTCTTAGTAACGGAAATCAACATTTAGCTGTTCAACTCGTTTGGATCGCCCCATTCCAGTTCCTAACGGTAACACCTACTTTCTTCAGTGCTGCGGTAAATGCAATTTAAACCCCTCTAAGAAGGTGACGGTCTGGTGCTGTTAAAATACGAAGTATTACGAAGTCATACGAAGTAATATCCTTTTTTAACTTTTCTATATTATAATTTTCTTTATTTTTCATTCAATATAATTTATTATTCCTAATATTTGACTTGATACTGATAAAAGGTCAATTGCAATTCTACGTAGAAAACGGTCAGTAATCAAAACAAAATTAACAAATTTTAATAATTATTTATATGAAATAAAAGGTTTAGACGAGCAGAATCTTCCAGTGGCGGAGTTAGAAATACGTCTTTCTAAAATAAATAATTTAATAGAAACATTTGAAAATATTCAAGATGAAATCGACTGTCTGGAAGATTCTGTATCTGAAAATGATATTAGTTCAAGGGTAGAGTTTGAAAATAGTTTTTATTCTGCAGTAGCATTAGCAAAAGTACTTATATCAAAATCTGTCATTGAAAAATCATCTGAAATGTCAAATAATTCAAGTCAAAATTGTTCAAATAATGGTAACCATAGCAACATTAATTTACCTACAATAGAGTTGCCTAAATTCTCAGGCCACTTTGAAAACTGGCTAGACTTTCATGACTCGTTTGAGTCTCTAATTATTAATAATAGTAGTTTAAGCCAAATTCAAAAGTTTTATTATTTAAAATCTGCCATTTCTGGTAATGCGGCAAAGGTTATCAGCTCGTTGCCACTTTCTTCTACAAATTTTAATCTTGCATGGCAGCTTATATGTGAAAGATATGCAAATCTTTTAATCTACAGCCATGTAAAGGCAATATTCAACTTGCCAACAGTAAATAAAGAGAACTCTTTTCATTTAAGACTATTAATTGACAATATCTCAAGCAATTTACGTTCTTTAAAATTTCTTGGTGAGCCCACTGAATACTGGGGCACACTTTTAAACTATATAGTATGCAGTAAGTTGGATCCTATTTCTGAACGTGAGTGGGACTCAGTTAAGCCTCAACACCATACATTTGATCAACTCTTAGAGTTTTTAAAGAAAAGAGCTGACATATTAGAAAAAAAAACATTCAAAATCAATGAAAATGAGAACTCACATAAAAAAACTAGCAAAAGTGTTAATAATAGGAGTGCAAAATCATTTGTTTCAACTGAATATGTATGTCAATTCTGTCAAAACTTACACAAAATTTCAAATTGTCCAGAGTTTTTTAATTTGTCTGTAAAGCAAAGAACCAATGAGGCAAAAGGTCGTAAATTATGTTTGAACTGTTTACATCTGGGGCATATAAATAAAAACTGTAAATACGGAAAATGTCAAAAATGTGGTATGAAGCATCATACACTACTTCATATTGAGTTTTCTAGTTCTTCACATGCTTCAAGTGTACCTTCAAATCCACAGCATAATTCTTCTTCTCAGAACATTGTGGAGCCTCCAAATGCTTCCATCACTCTTTCTTCTTGTTTTTCTGATACTCAGGTATTGCTGTCAACAGTTACTCTTCTTATTAGTGATGCTCATGGCCGTTATCATTCGTGTAAGGCTATTTTAGATTCTGGTTCACAATCAAACTTTATTTCTGATGAACTATGCAACAAGTTGGGTATAAAAAGGGAACATGTGAATATTGCTATTTCTGGTATCGTCAGGTACCTTCA